TTTGCGGTGATAACGGCTGGTTGGTGAGGCTGGTCCATATTGGTGTGGGAGCAGCGTGTCTGCTTGGCGTTCTTAAAGCTGTTTTATTCACAGAAACTCGTCTTGTTCAGTTTGTGAGGACTCAGCTCTTGCCTCTGTATAGAAAGAAACACTTAAATTAGACTGTTATATCAGCCTGGACAAAAACTTTGTTTCACTGTAAACTGTGACTACTGTACGACTGCGTGGGAACAATAAGTGAACAACATTTTCAAACACACCGCACATATGAGTATGTGAATGTTTACAAGTGTGAGTGTGTGTGATGTTTTCACTGTATCATTCCTGTGTTGGTACATGAAACTATCAATAAATATGTCATGACTTTTTTAGGGATCTAATTGTGGGTGACAAAAAATGAATTCATTTTAACAAGGGTCACATTTGTTACCGGAAACATACAATAAAACAACAGAACTACTATATATTCATATTTGTGTCATTCAATTCATGAAAAAATTTTAATGTCAGATGTATGTAAATATCAAATCACTGAAACTCCAGTTTTTCATGTTTTTTGTTAATTTGGAATGTTATAGCTGTTTTATGTTTAATGTTTTAAGCAACAACCTTTATAATATAAGATAAAAATAATCTTTGTAATGATGATAGCGTAAATTTAACTAGCCCTCTTTTGCACAGTGTTGCCCTCAGGCAAGAGAGACCTTTTCAGCCCCCTCTCTGGCCTGATTTTTGTTTTTCTATTTTTTTACACTTGTAAATGCATTATTGCATAGTTTCTAAACAATCCAATCAGTTTCAGGTGTGATGGGATATCAAGGGTGAAGGCGGGGCATACTTTCAGGAAGTGATGCTGCATGGTCTGTGGTGAAGGTGAGAAGTTTGATCTCTTTTTGTCCTGTCAGTCATTGATAACATAGAAGTAAAAATACTGGGATGTGCAAGAACATGTCTGAAACATTATTTTATTAATTTAATTTTGAGGGAATATTGAGGAAGAATGGCACCCTGGAGGAGGTTTGATAGACAGTGAAACTTTTGAAGAAAGTAAGTGTTGGAATTAAAATCTTGTAAGAATTAGCACTGGTTAGAGGAATCAGTATAGAAAAGCACAACCAGTGTAAACACCTAAGAAAATAACTGGGTTTTCAAAAGAATTGAAACAACTGATCAATTAATCAATTAGTCCACTGACAAGAAATTAATCTGTAGCTATTTTCATAATTAATTGTTTAAACATAATTTCAATTACAAATGTAAACTATTTTCTGGTTCCAGTGTTTTGGTGTTTCACATTTTCTGCTTTTCTGAGTTTTCCATCATTGTCAAATGGAAATCTTTGCATTCTGGACTGCTGGTCAGACAAAACCAGACATGTGAAAACCACTGGCTCATCATGGGAGACAAAAAAAGGGGAGCTGCAGGAAGCCAGGTTCAAGGGCACTCCAAAACTAATGTGCAACCAGTGTTGTGTACACCAGTGCTTCACAGCTGCAAGCAGCTGCTTCCTAGCCCTTCACACTGAATGAACTTGTGAGGTGAGTGAATTAATATCAAGTATCATGTGTTCATTAATCATTTAAATACCTAACTATGCTGAATAACATTTGATGATGAAAACATAATATGTCTCTGTCATCTTTGTCTCCTCAGG